CATGACAGCAAATGATGAGTGAATTACAACACCAATTAAATTAAGATGCAAACACTAACCCTTGAAATTGGAATTAGAGGCTTCAATTTGATGAATTCACGTGAAACTTCAAGAACTCAGCTTGTGTCCGCAGTAGGGTCTTTAAAATTTAGATGAAACATCTATCTGGTGCATCTCTAATCGTAAAAACTCTTACTTCTTAATATATCTTTCCTTGATTAATTGCATTTTATTCATTCAAATCCCCTGAATTTTATGTCTGATCTTTTTAGTAAAATTCATTTTACAATATTATACATAGTTACGAAACAGAACATAGTTCATTATTCCTTCAATAATCTATCTTGAATGACATTACTTAGTCATCTTCATACAGATTTTAGTTCGGGGAAATGTTCAAAATTCTTACCTCTCAAATATTTTATTCACTATTCCTCAGATATCACACAAACTTTCTATCAAACGAACATATTCTGGACTAGAATACAATAATTATTATTCTTTAATTTTAGTGGATTTAATTTGTATTGTTGTCAGGTTATTAACTATTTCCTCAGTTTATTTGGAAACATTCATTTCATATGATAGTGCTATTCGGTTAAACGTCAAAGAAATTAACTCAGCACCACTGACCACCGATTATTTCTCTTCAGTTGATAAATTTCTGATAGTAAGTAATCAAGTTAGATTCTATCTCTGTACAATTTATATTTATTGTAGCCAAAAGAAGAACTATATTCTAACTTCTCTACTACTTGTCTACTATCACTTTAATGCTTCCCCTTTGAATTAAATTACTAGGACTGAGACTCGTTAGGTAATTTCGTTAAATAATTATTATTTAAAGATAGTTCTCTTGCAGTAAACGATATCAATTAGAAACTCATTAGGGACCAGGGAGGACTAAATAGTTTTAAATAAGAAGGATTGGTTCAGAGAATAGTTCTCTTTTCGGGGAATTCATTTTCAAAGCTGTACGATTGTAAATATATGTACTTATTTTCCAGGATGATAACAATAAACTTCTGTAACACATGGTAACAGTGAGGTAGAATAAACAAAGGTATTAAAAAATGAATTCGCCAAAAATAGACCTCTTCGCTGAACCAATCTTTCTTGTTCAATGTCTTAATGGGTGTATTTCGTTGACTAAATAGTTGTTTTTTTAAAAGTTTGGATCTTTTTATTAGCAAGCATTTGATACTTACTTATAACCTACATAATTTGTAAAGTAAACATATTTTTCTCAAATCACATGCAAATCACTAAAAATATTTGATATATTTGCATCATACCATGATAGCATATCAATGACGAACAGAATATGGGTGATAATTAGTCAACTACACTCGTCTTCAACATAGTAATGATAATAATAACTATTAATATTATTCACTCCTACTAGTGTATGTGCTGAGAGTGGGTTAGTTTAATATCATAATAAAATAGGTAGATCGTAGTACATTAAGTTATTGTAATCAGTCATTCAAATAATTTCACACTATGACTGATTTAGTCAGTCTTTTAATTATAAGAATGATAACAAGATAATTTTCACTTCACAATCAATCTATGGATCATTTAAGTCATAGATTAATAATTTATAATTATGTACGTTGTGCATTATTTCATACGCCAACAATTTAGTGAAAATATTAATCAGAACAAAATTATGTCAAATTAATCTACACATTGAATTATGTAATTTCTTACTTGTGTTGATTGCGTATTACATCTTCATAACTGGTAATTTTGCACAATCAATATTGTTAAAGTATCCTCACCGAGAATTAAAACATTTGGAAATACTATAAGCAAAGATGGATAGTGGTTAATAGTGGAATCTAGGACGCACGTTTCGCCCTATTTGGGACTTATCAGCTGGATGCACCTGTATCTCAGAGTTGATATTCACTCTGGAACTCGAACCCAGTTCTGTTTGCCTCAAACACCATCGAGTTATCCGCTTAGCTACTGAGTCCTGATAGCCATTTGCTTGTGCAATGGGGTGAAGATTGAATTCACTTAGTACTGTTCGGTTGAATCTGGAAAATTTGCATAGATTATTAAGAAACAAAGAAAATTTCAGTGAACAATTTCATCTATTGGGCTTTAACAATTATATAAGACGAAATATTTAAGTATGTATGAAAAAGTCCTGTTTGAATTAATCACTGTTATAAATTGAAATAGTTGATTTCACAGTGATAGAGTATTAAGTATTAGTTTTTAAAAAAAGATACTTATAGAATTTGTTGATAGTAAAATTTAAAAAAATTATACAGAAAGAGGTAAGAAAAGCTAAATCCCCCTAAAATGAAGAGTTTGTAAAGGAAACAACCGGAAACAATTGTCTACTGAACAATTTTTGGGGAGTAGTACGTTTTTTCTATTTACCATGATATCCTGTTCAGGATGAACATTATTTTTGCTAACTGAATGTCAAATATATTCTATGTACTGATTAAAATCTGCTGATAGTTTTTTCCACATCACCTCTACAAATACAGTAAATGTTGCCCAAGCTTCACTTTTTTTAAGCAGATCTTTCGGTTTTAATTCGAAGTAGCTTCATTTTACTTTGAGGATTCCGTAAAAATGTATGTACATAACATTCATCTTCATTTTAGGGTTTTTCTAAATAATAAAAGTAATTTACTCTAAGTAAAAGTAAGCGAGAATATATGTCTATGTTACCATTTCCCTGTACCTATTATCTACATCTTTATTGCTCATTAAGAGTTTATTGAATAGAAGACGCTATGTTAGCAAAAGTTATCAATTTATACTTTTCGATATTCTGTCAATTTCACACAAATAATATTACCACATCCTATTCCCTTTTAGCATAAACTTGTATTTTATAAAAGTATTTTTGTCGTTTATGTATTAAATATGAATCTCATACTGGGATTTATCAGTTTGAATTGTGTTTTCTTTTAATTTTGTTACAGAGTAAGGTATATTGTTTATAAGGAGAATAAAGTATTACTAAGTCCGTAAATTAAACGATTATCACGATTGTAACATGGTGATCAAATTACATGGGTTATTGGTAGGTTTCAAGGAATATGTAAGTATACAAGTAGTTATAGTCTGTTAGAGAAGTGTACACTATGATTGTTGTCGATGTTTGTCATTTAATTTTAAATATATAGATGTAGAAAAACTGTCCTACCGTGATTAACACACGTTTTTACATCCCATTTTGCCAAAGTTTTAGAAATCCCATGCATATGATAATGTATACCATTTGATTTGTAAATAGTTAATATATATCACATACACTTAAACACATCGTTTGAAGACAACGAAATTATCATAATTTCATTATCATCATTTATACTGTAAAGTAGAATAGCTCAATAATTAAATTCTATTTTTATACACTACTTCTCATGTTCAGATTATTTATTGCAAACTACAAAAGTGCGACTCATTCAAGACTAATTTGGTGTTAATTCTGTAAGTTACTGATTTCTTTTTTATGAATTTCCTTTTGAAGTTCCAATTCAATCCGATGAGACCTAAGCTATGCTATAAATGGAGAATACATAAATAACATGGAATAATGATCTTAAAAAATCATGTTTTATGTTTTAAAGGAAACTAGCCTATTAAGTAGTATAATACATAAGGTTGATATGTTTAGGTTTCCGAATTCCTGATAAAAATAGGCAATTTCGTAAAAAGACATTGAACTGTGAACTATATACACGAGTTCTTAAGCTTCTACTGGAATACTAAACACCACAACTGATTTACAATATGTCACATACAGAAATAAAAGTAACAACAATTTTTTGATACTACAAATCGACTTGTTTCACAATAATATCAATAATAATCATGGTTTTTTTTATTATTAGAAATTCAGTACTTTGGGGGATTTTCAGCACCGGTTGTTCAAGATTGCAACAAAGTTCTATTTAACATAAGTTCAAGAAACCAGATTTTATTAATTTTACCTCCGCTCAAAAAAGTTCCTTTCCAGCTCAGATGCTACAGTTGCATTTTTTATTCAACATTTATAAAATGCATTCATTCTGATGTATTAATCCCTTAATTTTTTGAGTAACAGACAAAGTGGGAAATATTCCGACCTCTGCAGAGTTCTTTGTTCAGTATTTTAGTATTGAGTACCTTAATAACATTTGCACAGTTGGAAAACAGGTGGTCTAAAAGTTTGAGTAAGTCTCTTTGTCCGTAGTTTTTTTTTAATTTACTGATTATTCATAGATTTGCGGTGAGCTAAATTTCCTATTCAAGTATGATAAAGCACAACAACTAATAGTATTAGAGAAGAAGTCAAACCTTCATAAATAAAGTGTATATGGTGGTCATTAATTGAAATAACCCAACATTTAGTGCAATGCATTGATCAGTAAGCTGTTAAATTCGGATCGCTTAATCAAGTAAACAATCAAAGTTATTTGTATCAGACTGCACTGTATCAGAACCACACTTTTACCTTAGTTATTTATAATCAACAAATATACCTTTAATTTGTTATTCACTAAATTTTCCTTCTTTCAAGTATTGATTAAGAAATTGTACTCTGTTTTTCCTCTGTTTATAATACCAGTACATATCTCTAACCCTCAAATAGTTTCATTAAACTACAAATGGACTTGGCAGAGTATCAATTATAAACTAAACAGACATAATCTCTTTATTTCATCTTTTATGTCACAAAAGTGTCTAGTTGTTAAGGCCTAAATAGTTTGACATTATCCATATCATAACAGGTTACTGTGATTTCCATTGTGAATGCAAACTATTCTATTAGATTCAGTATAATCTTTTGAAAAAATAATGTGTTATTTATTGGAACAATGATAAAATAAGACAGATTTAATTACAGCCAGCAACATCTATTATCATAGTTGTAAGTTATATGTTTAATAATCACGAAGATAAAAATGATTACGGAACATCTGTATCGTAGTTTGATAAGTTCATATGCAGTTTAATATCCATATTCATATTTGATTAGAGATTAGGCGTAATATTTTCAACTATTAATCAAAGTACTGGTTTATTAAAATTATACAGTTTACAAACACCAAGTTCACTTAACATAAACAAAACTATTATCAACTTTACCACAAAACTTCATTCATAGTTTATTATTACATAACAGACTAGCATGTGTTTGCTATTACATAATGTTGTGATGACATCATTTTCAACATTGATCTACTAAATATTAAAGTCAAAATGAATGAAATTTGTCATAGAAACAAAATTTTATTCAACTTGGTTAACTAAATGTTATGGAAATATTGCTGAAAATCATGTAAGTGTTCTTTTTTTCTACAAATCCATAGTAATTTAATATCACAAAAATGGTAAGCTGATATAATTTAATATTGATCAACGTTATGTTTAGAAAGTTAACAAGGGTCTACTTGTTCCATAATTCATAGAATTCCATTTACCTATTTAATGATAGCAACTAAAATGTTTTGCAATTAAACACAGTTAATTGTATCAATTTGAAGGGTTGGAAGGTTTTGTGTTTACTATGTAGTCTTTAGTCATGGGAACTAAAATGGATGATAGTTTAATGTTTTTTGGTTTCCGGAAATCCTCCAATTAGCTTACGTTTGTGAAACAGACTACTTCATTTTACACAAATATCTAAATCTCGTCCAAAAAGTCTAATATGAAATTAGTTTCTTTGTTAATCTGACTTACATTCAATTCATGAAACAGTTTGTTGCTAAAAAAACAAAGTATTTTAAATGATTATTTGTCATTGCATTTTTTGTAACTATTTTGGTAAAAAGAAAGATGACCATATTATGTTTAAAGATGTTTATTTCACCGAATACCCTAGATCAATCTCTTATGTACTTCACGTTTTATGTAGCAATGGATTGATTTTCTTCATAGTAAAAATACTCTAAAACAAATTATAATTGTTACGTTTTATGGTATGATTACTTGTTTCCTAATTCTGAGTGGGTTAATTTCAAATCAAACCAGTATCAATGCTTAATTTCATGCTCAGTAATCTATTCATTAAACAATCTAATTAAACTATTGATAACAATATTATGAATAACTATAATGCATTTTATGATTGAAAACAATGGATGAAAAATATGAATTAAACTATGTATTTTATATTACTGATGATTAAAAGTTATCCACAAACATTAGGAAATTTATAACAATTACAATTGGACAAGAAATTATTCACTGTATGCCTGGATTCCAATTCAAATGATCAAGGTTTCAAACATTCATGTTGATTTTTAGCACTGAAAAGCATTTATTCTATTGTTTTATATTATTTTTTGTGTCTTTTTTCAATTAGTTCCTTTCAACTATTAGAAAGCATCCTGGTCCTTCACTTGTTTATCTATATTTCTGATATTTAGTCGAACATTATGACATTTATAATCGAAAAAAATAACTGAAAAATTGTCTGGAACATAAAAAACTACCTGATTGTTTCTGCCAACCGATGAAGCTAAAAACGACATTCAGTACTGCTAGATTTTGTTATCAACTTTCGAATAACTTTAATTGACCAATATTTTATTAATAATTGAAAGTCTATTCTACAATCATCTAAAAATGACCGAATCATTACATGAGAATATGAACAAAATCCATTGGAAACCGTTTTTATCACGAATCAAGTGTAGGCAGAAAACTGCTTTAACTAAAGAGACCTAGACAGCTATTTTGGCTTAATTTGAATGAATAACAATAGAGTAACTGCAGTTTAAGTTTATTATCTAAACTCGATTCAACATTATTGAATAAATCCTCATATCTTTCCTTTCGCAAAACTTTTAAAAATGGTATGATCGGTTATTATATCTTGGAGATAGATATAAAAGCCAATAATTTGTGTAGTGGTTGCTATTGTATTAATAGTGGGTTGCATTAATCACAATATCACTAGTTTTTATTTAATTTTTGAAGTGGTTACAGACAGGGAAACTTTATTTCTAAACCTTGCCACATATTCATACATTTTGACGAAGAATGTGTATATTTCAAGATATTTTTATAACACCTAGAACAACCACCATTTTTCAAAATAAATGTGGTCTCATCTTGAAAATTCATTATTAAGTGTGAACAAACAAACAACAATCATTTTATTATCCTTTAGTTGAAATTATCTAACTGATTCCTAGTTATAATCGTACACGAGATCACACCTATGATTTTCATGTAACTTAACTACTCTAACACATTTAGATAACTGATCCTCACTTACAAATGAACTTACAATGTTACTTTATTAAATTATTCAATAATCACCGTTAGTTTACATCACAATAATTTAAAATTGTCTTAGTTTCCATCAGATACTGATTTTACTTACTCAGTCCGTGGTCAAAACCATGAAAATTCAACAGTCATCGCAACCCCCCCCCTATATTAATCATAAAATGGTTTATTTTTTGGTGTGGAATGCTTAAATTGAAGAAAAATAGTCTATTGTCTGTTTGTCACTTTCTTAGCTTAGTTGAAAAATTGTAATCTATCTGATTACTTTATTCATCATCCCTGTGTTTAAAAATTTCACTGTCTCATACGACTATTTTCATCATTATCATTACTTTTTCAGGAGTAACAAATTCACTGATTTTCTAACCAGTCATAATACTCGAAATAAAAAGAAATTCTCACCATTAAAAAATTCATGACGGTAGGGTAAGAAATTTCGTCCAATAGAATGAATACAAAAGCATCATACATAAGCTTACTTAGTTTTGGTTGGCTGAATATTAGAATAGTCAATTCCCTTATTTTTTTTATCTTTATGTTTTGGTATAAATAACTAGGTGATATATGACACGCGACAATTAACGCTCGTTTATTGTAGTCAAAATGGTTATGGATTCAGAAATCAGTTTTCCAGCTAGACAATTATTCACATGTTCCAGCAACTGTACAATGGATAAAACTCTTCTTACCAAAAAAAGGCAACAGGAAGCTGATAATGCTATAAGGTCATCGACTGAGCAATTTCAGAGGATGTATGACATTAATACTAACTATTTCACACCAAATTATGCGTCGAAAACACCATCATTCATATCTGATCATACACAATTCAACGGAACAGCGAAAAATTTGCCTAAATGTTCATCAACTCCGGCATTTGCCACTGAAAACAATGATACTAAGAGCAGCAATTCATGTGATCACTGGCAATGGGAGCTTATAAGTTCAAAGAATCAATATATACCATCATTTTATTTGGGTAAACAATATTATTCAGATACTTGTGTCACAATAAATCAGTATGACAGTACCCAAGTGCTCCAAACACCAATAAAACAAATACACTGTGCGAAAGCAAATAAAGTGAAGAAGGGAACAAATGAACTTTTGGTCTCCCAACATAGCAATTTATTGAAAACTAATATGGAGAGTTCAAAGAAAAATAAACTTATATCAACTAAAATTAACTCATGGAATTTACCAGTGAAAAAATGGCCTCAAAATCTTACTCACACTGTAAAACAAACACCCTTAAATCATGTTTTGGCACGATCATATTCACTTACGACGTTAAATACTTCTACATTAAACAAATTGACTGCATCAAAGTCGATTATTTCACAAAAAACAATGAATTCACTTGAGGAACTACCAGTTATTGAATCAGCACCCTTTAATTCATACACCAAATATGGAATCGGTAAACATGAAACATTAGAAAATCGGAAAATCGCCTATCCTATTACGAAATACAAACAAACGACATTACTAGGTAAGTATAAAGTATGGTACAGATGTTTTACACAAGATCATTAACAGTTGAAATGTCTTGTGATTGATAGATTTAATCAGTTAATATAACAAATGTTAGTTCAAATATATTTACTGAACAGTTTGATTGCAATTATTTTTATAAATGATGATGAATTTGTTCATTACAAACTTCTGTATGTAGAAATTTTAATAAGTAACTATCATTATGTCAGACATAAAGGCTTGAATGATTGTTTATTTCTTTCATCTTCATGAAGTTTACTATCTGACCAAACACTAAGTAAGAATATTTATTGTTTACATTTTTCAGAAATCCTTCCTAAATGGCGTGAGCAGGCGGCGAAATTGCATTTATCAAAACAAACAATATCTTAGCTTTCTTGAAATATAAATATAAAATATATATTAATAACAGGTAAGTCTATTTTACTTTCTTTACGTAATTTAATTTTTTGAATGAAATAGTTACCAAATTTAAAGTTGATGAATAGTTCATTAATTCTTTACATTAACTAAAATGAAAACAAGCGATAAATTTTATTAGCTGTACAATATATCTACTCAAAATTCATGACTTGAAAGAAAATAATTTCATTATCCCTTGATATGTAAACTTTAACTTGTATTCGCTTTGAATATGCGTGTACTCTGTACAATGTTTCATGGTGTACTTTGTATTTAATGTATTCTGTTTACTTCGTTTACAATATTTATCAAACGATTCAATTTGAGGTGAGCTGAGATTCATCCAAAGGTTTAATACTTCCGTTTAACACATTTGGCTACTCGTAAGTAGTATAAATTGTCGAATACAAAGATTAAAGATAATGAAGCTACTTTGAGGCTGTATGAGAAATATATTTTATAACGTTTATGGAACCAATAAATAAATATTATTCAGTCATAACCGAAGTTATGGACAGATAAATATCAATCACAACTAGCTGGATGGCAATCTTGATTATTAAGTGGATCACCATTGTCGAGAACTGAGACATTTTCTGATCATGTGAATAATAGTTGATCACTTGAATCGATGTGCATAGTATGATCATGTGAAGATGTTCACATAAACTGAGTCATCAACAATTACGCTCAAATGAATAAAAGACCAAACAGTGAGAAGAACCGATTTATACAGCTAAATAAACTAAGACTTAAACATGAAGCTTAGTTTTTTCCGCTTTATCAATGACTTTATATACCTGCAACTAACCTTTGTGTATGACCAAATAAATTTGTGTACATAAATCTTGACAAACAACCTAGTCAGTAATCAAGTGAACTGATTTTCACTGAAACTTTAAATTTTAAATTTATAAAGAAATATGAACTGATCAGTTTCATAAGTAGAAAACAGTTAATTACTGTAGGCAGTACCTGAAGTAATGTTTGGATTTGATCTTCGATTCGATAACTATCAACCATATAACCCTATTCAATTAATTTTTACCATTGTTTAATTCATTTACCCTCTAGAACTATAGTAGATAGGTCAAATTGAACAAATTCTGATATAAGGAAATTATTCTCTACTTAATTTTTGCCCAATTTAAAAAGCCTTTCTTCTTCATTAGCTGAAGAATAGGTGTTTTAATCAGATAAGTTAATGAAAATATTCTAATATAAAGTTATTTTCCATAATTTATTCCCTATTTCTTTCTGTTTTCAAGTTTTCTTTGAAGTAATCAACTGGATACATTTCTTCACCGGATATTATGCAGCGTCTCAATGTACACACTAAACAAATGTCTTTCAAACTGTTCAATATTTAAAAGTAATTGTTATAATTATCAGTAGTATAGTAATGACAAGATCAATAAAACAACAGTCGAATAAGATGATCTATTACTTATTACATATTCAATTGTTATCTGTTTCAATAATTAAAAACTATTACTGTTCTCTCCATATTGTTGATATAAACTTTGATTATGCAAGTAATTTTTGGCGAAAGATTATTCTACCCTCTCCGTCCAATGATTAATAATATACTGAAATCTTATTACTTCCATGTACACAAATGAAGAATATCTATAATGATTTGTACATACTATACTTTTATTCATACCTGTACTTTTGTTGAATTTATCCGTATAATATTTGAATAATTATTGGAATAAATTTTGATTAAACCACCAGTATTTTTAAAAAAAACTAATGGAGGGATTTTGTAAAATAGTGTAGTACATCTGTAATGTAGTCACTTAAATGCGAAACAGTGATGTTTATAACATAGAAATTATCGTTGAAGGATGATGGATAATATGCATGGTAATTATACTGATTACCATGATCAGTTTACGTAATAGACCGATTTATAGCCTTGATGAGCTTCAACTTCAGAGTGATTGATTTAAAACTTTTGATAAGGGAGAAGTGATGGATTTCTGAAAAACAGGTCAACATTATCGTTGAATATAACTGGAATAAACCTTAAGTTCTATGTTTTGTTAGATTAGTAATATATATTTATCGTCATAAGATGAATTCTGTAATATCATTAGTGAAATAGAATTGAGAAAATTAAACAATAAAATTTTTTTCTGGATTATCCAATACATGATTTTGTATAATCGTTTAATCTAAATACTGTTGGTAAGTCTTGTCCAAGAATAAGCTAGCCGATCAATAGTTCACTCCATTCAAATTGATTTTCAGGTTATTAACTTTTCAAAGTAATAGGTGAAGTCAATTTAGGATTTAATGAATTCACTGAAACTTTGTTTAAACTATGTTTTTAAAAAAAAGAAGTAATTAGATTTTGACATGATGAACTAGAAATCCCATCAAATTATGTATATTTTTACAAAAAGTTTTATATTATTCCCCTTCGCTATATCTGTTAACATTTTTAGTTTCAAATTTGATCTAAATATGAAGATAGGTTATGATGAATGCTCACTTTTTATTGTTACAACTAAACGATTAGTGCATTACTTAAATGTACTTTGTGGAAGACCAATTCTACCCATAAAATGAAGTTATTTACATTTTTATTCTGAGAATAAATGGTTATTCAGTCCTTGTAGTCAACAAAAACCTACCTTGCATTTGACTGCATTATTCTATGAACCATGTTTTTAAGATTTAATGATTAGTTATTCACAGTAATTAGCCAAAAGTTACGGCTTCCAACTAGCTGACACTTAGTCGACAAGGTATATTTATGACTTTTCAAACTTATTTTTATCTGATAATCCGAAACACAGAAAATAGATATCTAAAATGCAACTGACTATTTAAACTTAGGTGCATAATTCAAATAATATAATTTCTTAACCTTAAGTCATGATTAGAAAAAATCATTTCATTCACAATAAGGAGGATGAACCACAAAAATTATTGGATCAAGAATGTGATTTGTCATTTCGATACTTAAAAAAACTTAGCTCAAGTAGACATAAACAATAGGAATGTGCCTGCTAAATATTTCCGTATTAAAATTGGCAATTACAGTAAACTAATTACTTATCAATCCAAATGATAGAACTCGATTGACTAGGGTAGTGAGTTTTCATAACTGCCTATTATTCAAATGCCATTTCTTAAGATAATTCTAATCACGAACTGATATCAACTAGAGAGACATCACATGTTCTGCAGTCGTTCATTTCTAGTTTGAAGCTTTCCGATAGTAGACTTCCGCGACTATACACAAAAATCAACCCAACGCCTTCAGGTTGCGAAATAATCAGACGATAGACCGGTAATCTATAATCTAGACCTCAATCAATAGGTTGATTTTGTCTTCAGCGAAACAATAGTTACTTCGAATCAATCCAGGATAAAGAATGTTACAAGCAATTGTCTTTCAGGGTTGCCCAGATCCTATCAATTAAAGTTTAATTCGACCATTCGTCTAAGTGACTCTGTATTGAAGACATCATGTTCAAATGTTAGATGGTTGGGAGGTAGTCTGAAGGATAACCTTCAACAACCTAAAACATGTGTTATCATGATCAAAATATCATTTAGAATGTATGTTTTTCAAAGGAAAACGATAGCGAACTCTTAAATTATACAAAATCTATGAAAAGAACAAAGCGATTGCAAAGACTGAAACCGAAACACAATATTCGGTTGCTATGAAAACCGATAATTACTGATCACTATGAGTAATATCCCAAACACCAATAGGAAGTTATACAAAATATTAACTATTAATTGGGATTCATTGACCCAAAATATTTACATTAATCAGAAATAATAAGTAATCAAATTTATGTGATGAAAATATCAGACGATTGTTTCTTTTATCCTGTATTGAGTTTATGACAAATGTTAATTTATTTGCTTATGAAACTAACTAACGTGGGTTTAGTAATGGTGTATATTACCAACACATCGATTTGCTTAAAAGTATTATTAATAATTAAGAAAATAATTATCAGTCGCTAACATTTTAGTTTACTTTACTTCATAATCAATAAACACTATAATTTGATTGTATTCACGAATAGCACTAACTGAATTTAACCAGTACTATGTAATAACCTATTACTTACGGTGCACATTAATCATAAATGAACTTCTCCTCTTTTCTCAGTACAGTCGTAGAATTATGTTAAATTTATGTGTAGACGTTACATTTTCTTGGGTCACAGAATTTAAGCTTGAAAAAAATGCAACTTTCAATATTAAATCATTCATGAGAAAATTTTAAGTATTAAACAAGCTAATCTATTCAATGATAAATATTCTTTGATAGACAGGCGTGCAAAATAGCTAAAAAATAAAAACCATTGACATGTAAGTAGGTAAGTAGATAGGTAGATAGGCTAGCATAATAATACCATAAGACATTTGTCAATTTTCTTATGTATCCTGAAAATGATAATAATCTTTTTTTTTTTAAAATAAGTAAATGGGAGCCACTAAATAGGCAAGTAAGTCAACGGAGAAAAGTATTCAATTTTCATGGTGAAATTAGAAAAAATAATCCAATCAACTGGTGATTTCCACTAGCTGATCACAAATTCGTCTCTTTTTTTGGGAGAAAAAGGTCATAAAACACATGTGCCTGACAAAATTCTCTATAAAAAATATAGATATAATTTATGTATGTATAAATTATCTACTCTTTTAAAGCGTATTAACTCGCATGTTTGTGTGTATCAAAGTGAATGTTGACATCTGGGGTGGGACATATTTTTAACATAAGAGAATAAAGTGAGTATTCCTTTTTATCTTCAGGAATGATCAACCGTTTTTTATTCACATTCATCAGCATATTTATATATAAGTGTAACTTCTTTTTTTCGTTATCTGGGTCAAATATTACCAAATATTGATAGATTGACAAGATATTTTAAGTTATCTTGTTCATTTATAAAATAAACTATCGCGCACATATATCTTGCCAAACCTTCTGCAAAATAAAACAAAACAAACACACCTGTAAATTTAATTCCCATGAAAATTAAACAAATATCCAAAATACTTTGTTAACCATTTAAAATGGTAGGTGTTCGATGTGGTACAAAGAGACAGAAGATTATTATTCACATTTTGAATATTATGAAGGTGTGATTAATTTTCCGAAATAATTAAGTTTTAAATTTCTTTATAGATGTGCTGTTTAAACCTTCATTATTAAGTCAAATGATTGAATAAAATAACTCCACGATTATAATTACGATGTGTTTTCTAAAGATTGGATTAAAGCTAAATGATTGTAATCGTGAAAAAGATATCAGGTGTCGAAACTAGAGTAAGACACAGGTACCTGAAGACTGATAGTTAGTGTTATTAATGTAAGTTTGTTGGAGATTTACTGATTGTAAAAAAAACTCATATAAAATCGAAATACAAAGTAACAACTAATTCACCGAGTCTTTACAGTTTAAAGAGTCTTCTAACTTTAAGATTTCAAAAAGTCTAACAAAATTTGATTCATATCGTCGAAAATCTTTTCTGTACTTCCCTTGTAGTGTAAACTTAACATCAATCTGGAAGATATTTTTAATTACGAGCATTTATTATGAACAAGGTTACCATGCTTTTAGAGGTAAATAAATATGTAAATATATTTGATAAATATCATATATAGGTTATTTGAACTGGAATTTTGTATATTGGATACTTTCATGCAACTGAATCTCTTGATAAACATTTGTGAAATGAAAATAACAAACAGTGTAGGATGAGATGAACTCATTTTATTTCGTATGCTCCAGGTCATCCACATACAGACCAATTTATATCAATAGTTGAAATGGTTTACAATCATGATTTTATTGTGTAACATGTAGTAAAAATGTATTTATTTTACTGATCAAAAGAAATGATTAATAATACTTTCCATTCCCAACAATTTCAATATTATAGCTGAACGGATTAAACAAGAAAGTGATATTGATGTAATTGGATATAGGATAGTGATTGTCTGGTCGATTTACTAAAAACATAATCCAAGACGGTAACATTGGAAAAAAAAGGTCCAAAATTATAGCATTATTCTAGTTCACCATACACTGTACCAAGAAACTGGACTTATCACCATATAAGGTTGGTATTTTCATGTTTAGATTTTTGAAAACCTTCAGTACGAGGGAAAATTATTTGAAATATAAATAGTTATAACTGAGATCATGACCCGTTTAATGTTTTACTACCATTAAAAACCTGGAAGTACTGGGTGACCGTTTTGTCCTAGTATGGGATTCGTCAGCAGAGCACATCCATGATCCCGCACATGCGACTTGAATAGAAACGTTTATATTATATGTACTTCCCTTTAATATTGAGATGGTATAGTTCTAGTCATCATGTTTCAGCTTTATAGTGCTACTTTCTAAGATATCACATAAAACACCTTATCATTCATTTAGATAGGTCATTATGATTCTTAAATGTTTGTAAACAGACATTAGTTTTAGTACAAACATAAAACTTTTAATTGTAAACAGTTATGTTGATATTGTTTGTATATAAGATATATTGTATAGATTTCATTAATGTTTGCTCATTCTATGTTTATATAAATTACTACAATGATTCAATTAAAACTAAGTTTAACTTTTATTGTATTGATCATAAACTTAATGATAACAATCAGTCTTATCGTCATCATAATCTTTATTATAAAGATAGTTATAGCATGAATTTTATGTGAAAAACATACTCAGACCATATG